TATTTGTGCCTTCTCATTCTTCTTGATTAATCCTTCAGGAGGTTTAAATGTTAGACACATTAGTTTCTTTAAAAGTCTATTTCCAAATGTCAGGAATAGGTTATAGTAGGTTCTCTGTATTTCTTTCTTTCTTTTTAAAGACGCAGGATCTCACTGTCACCCAGGCTAGAGTACAGTGGTGTTGTCATAGCTCACTGCAGCCTTGAACTCCTGGGCTCATGATCTCTTGCCTCAGCCTCCTGAGTAGCCAGGACTACAGGCAGCACCACCACACCCAACTTTTTTTTTTTCTTCTTCTTCTTTTTGGAGAGATGTCTATGTTGCCTGAGCTGGTTTCAAACTTCTGAGCTGAAGCAGTTGTCCCGCCTTGGCCTCCCAAAGTGTTGGGATTACAGTGTGAACCACTGTGCCTAGCCTTAGTCTGTATTTCGAATATCATTTGCCAGAGAATATGATTTGCAAGATTTTGGTTTTCTAAACTGAGACGTTTATGTCCTATCATGTTTCATGAATATTCCATGTGTATTGGTAAAGAATGTGTATTACCTAATAGTTGAGTATTATGTTCTATAAGTCCCAGATCAAACTTGTTAGTTGTGTTAGGTACAACTTTATTGATTTATCTTGTACCTGATTTGCTTATTGGAGTCTAAAGATTTCATTGTAATGGATCTCTCAGTTTCTCTTAAATTTGTATTTGCTTTTTCATTGGCTTTACTAATAAATACAAACTAATTTAGAATTGTTCTATTTTCCCTACTAAATTGAGCCTTTTAAAATTGTTTAGTGGCTCTATCTCTATGACTGCATGTTGCCTTCATCTTCTTTGTTGTCAGTACTTACTTTAACGATAGTTTAGTCTTTGTCTGATATATCTTAGATTTTTCCTTGGCCTTTTAGTTCAAGTTTACAGGAGACACACCTGAAAGATAAAGCCAAAGAAAACCTGCCTTTTTAACTCCATAATCTAGTCCATTTATACTTACTGTGATCACAAATATCATTGTATTTATTTCTAGGTTTTTGTCATAAATTATCTGTCATAGGTTTTTGTGTCTACTCCCGATTGTTGCCTTTTTTTTTTTTTTTTTACATTTTCTTATTCTTTTTCCCCACTCTGTTGTTGAGTTTTAGTTTTCAATTATTATATATTTTTTCTTACAAGTTCTATTTGGTTTACAAATCTCCTTGTTTCTATGCAGTCTTTTGTTCCTTTTTCCATGCTTCTATTTCTTTAAACATCATTAATTTTTTTCCTATGTTATTACCAATATTGAGTCTTTGTGGATGCTTCTATTGTCTGTTGGATATTTTGTTTTTTACTCATGGTGCCACCTTCCCTTGAGTTTTTGTTTTGTTTTTTTGAGACATGGTCTCACTCTGTTGCCCAGGCTGGAGGGCAGTACAGGCTGGAGGTACAACCTCAGCTTACTGCAACCTCTGCCTCCTAGGTTCAAGCAAGTCTCCTGCCTCAGCCCCCCGAGGAGCTGGGATGACAAGCACATGCCACCATGCTCAGCTAATTTTTGTGTTTTTAGTAGAGATGTGGTTTTGCCATGTTGGCCATGCAGTTTGTGGTATCTTAAGCTTCTTTTCCTTGGCAAATAATCTGAAGCACTGACTGAAATGGAGAACTTTCAGAGAACTCCTTTGCTCTGCCAGACATCCAGAAGCAACCAACGTGAGACTACTTCTTTTCAATTACCAGCTGACATTTAAGCTGAGGAAGAGCCTGTGGTTAGGTATTTGAGGATAGGGGTAATTTATACCCTTCAACCAGCACCAAAATGGAGGCAGGTAAGCCTGCTTGCTACCTATTTCTCTGGTGGCCCTAATAAGACTTCAAACTAGGTAAGCATTCAGCTTTTTGTCCAGGCCCTCCTCTCCTGCTAGGTCAAGAACTCCAGACTCCAAAAGAGCTCTTGGGGCAAAAGCAGGCTTTAGTGCTAGCTCACCTCACAGGTTATTTTTACTTCTTTTTGGAGTTCTGCAAATTCCTTGCTTTCATGATACACTTAGAAAAAATACATTATTCAATAATTTGCTGATAGTTCACATTATTTCTTTTATAAAGCATTGAGTGGGGGTTAACTGGGAGTTGTTAGGGTATCTAGGCTGTCTTACTCTTGGAAATGAACTCTAGTTTAACAGTTTGCCCTTTATGTGAGTAGAATACGTGGTACTTTCTAGCAGTCTATACAGAATTAAAAGATGCCTGATTCCCTCTGTACAGTTCCGTAAGACAGTACTTTTACGATGTAGAGACTGCTACTTGCAAGGTGGGAAATGTACAGGAAGAAACCATTTTTAAAAGATAGACTCTTCCTCCAAACCAAGGAATGACTCTGTCATTTCTTTAAATGTCCCGAACATTGTATTCATTTATTAATGATTGCTTTGATCTGAAAAAAGAATTTGGATTTGGTTTCTTATAAAGCTAATATTGGAGATTATATATGCATGAATGAGCCTCCTTGGCATACCTGTTCTGGCTGAAAGGCACTTTCTCTTATGACTTGTCCTTGCCCAGTAACTTGTTTTCAACAACTGCCTAGTGTTCAAAGTTCAGAAATATCTTTCATTCACATGTACTCTGAAATTGAGCTCTGGAAAACAGTTGCAAAAGTATGACACAAACCTTTTACTGTTTGCTTTTGGAGGACAATCAAGGAAGACCTAAATCATACCTTAAGGAGGCAAAATTTTATGCCATGGATTGGAATTTTATAATCAGTGTATTTTTGTGGAAGAAAAAAGAATTACCTATTAACGTAATTTGGTCCCCTAAAACTACTACATGGCCTTTAAGACGGTACCAGCACATACTTTAATGACTTTATTCTTACCTCACACACTTGCTCAAATTAATTTTGGCAAAGGAATTCTTACAATACATTGTCTTGCACAGGTATCCCTTTAATATGCAGTGCAAAAGGAAACAGTTTCTGGAGTAAGATCAGGGAAAACTGTAACTTTACTATTAGGCAAGCGTCTCTTTAAAGGAATGGCCAGAAGCCAGAGAAATGAATCCATGCCAGTGCCATCTGTGGCCCAAGATTGGAAGAGATTCTGCCTTATGGTTTCACAAATCCTTAAAATCAGGTACAAAAAGCAGCACAGTCTCGAAATAAATTTATAAGGGGCCGTAGAGCAGCCAGTATAAAAGGCCGTATTACACATCTCCTCTGTTTGGGTGGTGCTATTTTCTACATTTGGTGATTACTACAAAGGTTTTTACAAATGTTTGAGGACCTTTTCTGATAAAACCTGAAGAATGAGTGGGACTTAGCTAGGTAGAGGGAAGTATGTGTTTAAGGTCATGGCAGGTGGATGGGGGAGGCAAAGAACTTGGCACAAGGAGCCAAGATGAGATAAGGGGTGATGGAACTCCCCAGTCGAGACAGCTAAACTTGTTGAAGTAATGGTTCTAGCTCTAAAAGAAACCATAAATTAAAACTGAGTATTTTTCAGACAGTGTAGTATAGTTCCTTAGAAAACAAAGTTAGAGTTGTTCCATTTTTTACTCATGAGCACATTATATGACTTAATAGGAGTTTAAGGTCAATATATACAAATTATTAACTTATATAAATTATCAGTTGCCTAACTCAGGGAGACCAAAAAACACATTTAAAATAGACTAGTTTTTGGTATAGATTTTACCCCAGTATTACTTTTCTTTTAAAGTCCTTTAAAGAGCTGCCTAATTATCACTTATTTGAATGACTTAAAGTGTATTTTATCACATAAATCAACAAACATCATCTTGTTTAGATTGTTGATAAAATAACAATTATCCTTAAGATAAAATATTTTTTTAAAATCTTGCATTCTTAGCAAATGGGAGAAACTATCCTTCCTGATTTTCATGCCTAATTGCTACTGCTACAGAAGTCCTTTTAATTGGGCCCTCATAACTATATTCAATTAGAATTATTAAAGTTAACTGGCACTCCTTTAACTCACTAAGGCAAAACAGGCAATAAGGCATGTTTGTGAAGAAAGGAAAACCCTGCACATGTAATACAGTGTAGGAGGGGAAAAAATACAAATAGCTTCAAACACTTTCATATCAAAGTATGTGACATTAGGAAGGCACCATTTAAAAAACAATCCTTGCTGAACTCAAGAAGATTTTAAAGCATCTCCATTAGAGTGAGGTAGTGAGGTAGTGAGGGGACAGACAGAAGCTACCTAAGACACAAGCTACCTAAGTCCCCTTCTTCTGCCTTACTGAAACCCATTTCTCTATTAGATACTCAAGAAAGCAATGTTTACAAAATTATAAAAAACATTTTTATAATAGGTTAACATGGGAGCTTGCATACATAAGAAGTTCCAGAAGAGAAAACATGACATTCAGTTAAATGCAACACAGGCCAAGTAAGACACTGACCCCAGCTCTGACAAGCATAAATTAGGATATTATGCACTTGACACATGCAGAATGTCCATTTTCTTTCCCATCAGAGTATGAAGTCCAACAACAATGTAATCCATACCAAAAAAAAAAAAAAAAAAAAAAGTGACCTGATTTTATCTAGTGTAAAGTTTTAGTTAGCACTACTGGCAAGTTATGAAGTTTGGAAATTTGTTGTATTAGATACTGACTTAAAATTTTAAATGGTCGAATTCCTGGGTTTTGGGGGTTTTTATTGAGACGAGAGTCTGGCTTTGTTGCCCAGGCTGGAGAGCAGTGGCATGATCTCGGCTCACTACAGACTCCGTCTCCGAGGGTCAAGGATAATGCCTCAGCCACCAGAATAGCTGGGACTACAGGTGTGCACCACCACACCCTGCTAATTTTTATATTTTTTTGTAGAGACGCAAGGTTCGCCATGTTGGCCAGGCTAGTCTCAAATTCCTAACCTCAAAGTGATCCACCTGCCTCGCCCTCCCAAAGTGCTGGGATTCTAGGCATGAGCCACACCTGGCCTCAAATTCCTTTTTTATCTTGATTCTCTACTCTAACATATCCCAATCTTTAAACTAATTTTACAGATAATCAAAGATCAAGTGCTTTTATCAGTTATATAGTGACACACTGCTTGGATCAAATGGAAAATATTTTAAAATACACTCATAACGAAGTATCAAAACAGTTAAAATTTTGCATATTTGGTAACCCAGCAATACGTCTAAGAATTTAAGAAAACAGTCATGGATGAACACGAGATTCAGTGAAGTGCTGTTTATACTGTGAAAAGATGTAAATAGTCAAAATATCCAATAGAAGATTAAATAAATTATGATTGAGTCATATAACAGAATAAAAAACCAGTAAAAATGATGCAGAAGACTATGCATGACCTGGAAAAGATGATCACAATATATTGTTAAAGTGAAAAAAGCAGGTTACAAAACGGTATGCACAATATGAGCCCATTTTTATAAAAATATACATATTTAGCAAAGTAAAAGGACAAATGATATTTATCAAAATATTAACATTGGTTCTTTGAACATAGTAGGATTATTGATTTTGCTTAACTACTCCCCCATTTTTTCCTATTTGAATTTATTATAATGAAAATTATTTTTTAAATGGAGAGTAGAAATGAGGGCATTATTAATCTCTGATTAGCTCAAATATAGTCTCAAAGGCTCCTTCTGGCAAAGAAGTGTTTCTATTCAGCCTGTATCTGGGAAATTGCTTCTACCTTATAAATCTGAGTGTCCTTCAAAGATGACATTCACTCCAACTTCCTTTTAGGCAAACTATACAATTTTGATATTAAAACTTAAAAAAAAAAATCCCTCAAGTTAACACCAAAAATAATAGATGAGAAAATACAAATCCTCACTTTTTAAAAAAGAAACAATCCAAGTACATACTACTAAATTATACAAAGTTACATTATCTAAGTTTAGTTTATTGCAAAGATGAAGACAGCACACTAGAAGCTGGCAGCTTCTTTTTCACACCATTCACAGCACTCACTCTGTTCTCCATTCCATTCACTCACCCATGCAAAAGGTCTGTACACGCAATGATGTCTGATGTTTCTTGGTTTCCATAGTATAAAAGGAAACAACATTTCAATTAAAAAGGTAAAATGAGGACATTTACCATCAGACTATAAAATTTCTCTTCTGTAAAAGGATACTATAGTACTTGAAGATATGCTTTGAAAAAAATCATGTACCAAATGAAAGGGGCACCAAGTCAAGAGCACTAGGAGTACATTAAACTTAAATGTATTCCAACATTCTTAATAATGTAACTCAAAACCAAATCCAGTCTAAAAAAAGGTCCAATAACTAAAACTATATTAACAGGCACGATGAACAGTGTAAACACTGTTAATGGGCACCAAGTTGAACAGGGCAGACAATATTTGCTTCTGCATTCACACTTACTCAATTACATTGTTTTTAAAAAATGGTGTTGCTTAAACTATGAATGTTTTACCCAAAAAAAATAATTTTAATAAATACAGCAAATGCTAGAAATCTAGCTAGGTTATCATGCAAGGTATAACTAAGACAAACTCAAATTTATAATAAAGGCAACTTGCATTCAAAATGAACTCTACCCTTATATTTTATTAAAAGGGCAAACATCGTGAATTAACCCAGCTGCTTACTTGAATTACAAAAGTAACATGATTCAATATGAAAATAAGAAACTGTCTACAAATCTCTGACAGTAATAAATTGCAATATACAATGCATACAGGAGTCATACAGAGCAACAAACTCTTGTACAAAACAAAAATATTTTAATACCTTTAAAATCCAAATTTTTCTTTAAAATCATTCATGAAAAAGATTCTCAAGTCAGAATTAACACCTCAATTAGTCAAGCATCAGGAAGCTACATTACAGCTATTTAATATACAAAGATACATCTTTTCACCAGTCATTTCCTTCTGATGTCTCTGTTCCAGAATCATACAGACTCTCATTTCTCTATAATCCCCATTCCATCATTTCTTCAGATCATGAAAACTGAATTTGTTGAACACCAGAAATCTAAGATTAGAAAATTTAAATTAAGCAGAATTAAAGGAGATTAAGCATAACATATGCATATTATAAATATTCAGTGACTAAAAAGACAGTAATCTTTCTAGAAATCTATGCAAATATAAACATTTTTAACTATTAAGAGACTACTATATACAGTTATCCATATTGAGAAAACAGAATTTTTAATAACCCTATTTTATCAGGTCCTTAAGAACGTGTTGAAATTAGCTTTATCAATAGACATAATCAATTTTTTTTTTTTTTTTGGAGACAGAGTCTTGCTCTGTTGCCTAGGCTGGAGTGCAGTGGCATGATCTTAGCTCACTGCAACCTCTGCCTCCCAGATTCAAGTGATTCTCCTGCCTCAGCCTCCCAAGTAGCTGGTATTAGAGGCATCTGCCACCATGTCCTGCCAATTTTTGCCTTTTTTTTTTTTTTTTTTTTTTTGAGACAGAGTTTCGCTCTTGTTACCCAGGCTGGAGTGCAATGGCATGGTTTTGGCTCACCACAACCTCCACCTCCTGGGTTCAGGCAATTCTCCTGCCTCAGCCTCCTGAGTAGCTGGGATTACAGGCATGTGCCACCATGCCCAGCTAATTTTTTTGTATTTTTAGTAGAGACGGGGTTTCACCATGTTGACCAGGATGGTCTTGATTTCTTGACCTTGTGATCCACCCACCTCGGCCTCCCAAAGTGCTGGGATTACAGGCTTGAGCCACCACGCCCGGCCAATTTTTGCATTTTTAGTAGAGACAGGGTTTCACCATGTTGGCCAGGCTGGTCTTGAACTCCTGACCTCAGGTGATCCGCCCACCTCGGCCTCCCAAAGTGCTGGGATTACAGGCAAGAGCCACCACGCCCTAGCAATATAATCAAATTTTTTAAGCGTTTAAAATACAAAGGACTGTACCTGTTGATATGATGTTGTGTAAACCATAACATTTTGTTGTTGACCATCTGTGGTTATTAAGCCAGCTGGTAACTGGTTAGCTAAAAGAAAAAAAAATAGTTGAAGAGGGAAAAAAATTTTATCTACTTTCTTGGGCTGAATCTTGAGGTTGTGCCGTTAATGTCTCAGTACAATTCTGCCCCTTATCAATGATGTAGTCTTGGACAAAATAATAAATCCTCCAATTTTCCATTTTAAAAAACGTTCCCTAAAAACCACATTTTTTTATATTGCATTTTTCAATTTTCATATCTCTAACATGTACCTTAGCTAACTGCCCATGTGTACAAATCTGCAGACAGATTGGATGAAGTGACTAAACTACACTACATCATGAGGTTTCGCTGGGAGCAACACATAACTGAGCAGCGTATATTTTACATATGATAAGTGTACTCACCATAGCCCTTTTATTTCACCAATATGACAACGATACTCAATGTAAAAAAAAAAAAAGAAACCTGAGTTCAAATTTATTTAAACCATAAGATTTTAAATTACAAACTACAATTCCTTAACATTAAATTCCTATGTTATATGAATATCTGCCAAAAACTAGGGGCTGTGGAACTCAATCAGAACTATTTGTGAAAGGTTATAATGTCTGCACAACTAAAATTTTCTACACTTACCACTCACTGATTTCAAATAAAAGGGCGTGACCTGATAAGAACTATTTACAATAGTGCTATGTCAAAATACTCAGTGTTGACATTCCAAAAATACCACTAGACGCTTAGTATGAATCACTGCTAGCAATCTACATGACTTGGTATTATAACAATGCTTACTAAATGCCTCCTCTGTAAGCTCTTCACTTAATCCATCTGTAGCTGTGACTGCTCCACCAATTCCCTTTTCTCCTTTCATAGCCTGAGGAAGGAAAAAAATGTCACCGATGTTCAAATGAAATTGTCTTCCAAATAAGAATGCTTACCTATTGCCTAAAATTAGGAGGTTCTATTATTATAAACTCTAAGCAGAGTATTTATTAACACTTCTGGTTAATTACATATGAAGAAGGCTTTCAAAAGGCTAACTTTTAATATAAACTGTAATCACTACAAGACAGAGTTAGTAATGACCTAGAAAACGAAGTATTTATAGATAAAAATAAATTATTCTAATTCTACACCACATCAAAGGGATAAGAGAATTCTACTTAGAGATGAAGAAGTCTGCAAAATACCACAAATATTGAGCTTATAAATCTACTACAAAGGATCCAAGTTATCACTTAAGTATATACATGTCTTTCAGCCAACGGGGCAGTACTGTAGCAAGTTGAGAATTAAAAATTCCTAAACCAAAATTAGTTTGGCCAAATACCTCAAGGGTTCTATGATACTGAAGATTTGTAAAAGTACTGTTAGAAATTTCCACATTCTTTTTCTACTTGAATCATTCCATGCAATTATCACTAATTTAATGGAATTCAAACACTAAAGATATTAAGGATGTATTTTGAAAGTAATGTGACTCTAACAATGCCTAAGCTGGCGTGTGGAAATAAATATGCTGAACTCAACTCCTTTTCACAAAATCCATTCCCACAGGCAAAGATAAACCTAAGAGGAAGTATAGAAGAATTCAATCAATAATAAGAAAGACACGTGATTATACCTTCCTCTTTTTTATTATCTTACTACTTTTAATGCTACTTACTTTAAATTAACAATAGCAGCAAGAAGTAACATTAATGAGCACTGAACATTATTTACTTAGTCCCATCTAGGTACTATTAGCCTCATTTTACAGATGAGGAAACCAAGACCTTTAAAGTACTGAAATAATCTGTCCAAGGCCACAGAATTTGCATGTGGCAGAGCTGAGATTCGGCCTCCTGGTAGTCTGAATCCAAAGTCTGTGCCCTTTCATCATTATGTAACTATGCTATGGTTAGTAATAAGTAAAGGGAAAAAGAAAGGACATAGTATTTAAGTACTGTAATATAAGTCAGTGACCCCCAACTCCCAGGCTGCAGGCTGATAAGCGTCCCTGGCCTGTTAAAAACCTGGCCACACAGCAGAAGGTGGGGCTGGTAATCCAGCATCACCACCTGAGCTCCACCTCCTGTCAGATCAGTGGCGGCATTAGATTCTCATAGGAGCTCGAACCCTGCTGTGAACTGTGCATGCAAGGGATCTAGATTGTGCATTCCTTATGAGAATCTAACTAATGCCTGATAATCTGGGGTGGAACAGTTTCATCCTGAAGCCATCTGCCCCTCGAATCCCTCCCCCGACCCCAATCCGTAGAAAAACTGTTTTCCGCAAAACTGGTCCCTGGTGCCAAAAAGGTTGGGAACTGTTGATATAAGCGACTGAATACTTCTGAGAAATGTTACATAATTTACTACAAAATAAAGTTTTTAAACAAATAATACATTTAAAAAGTTAAAGTAAATAATGTCTCTTTTCTTTTTTTTTTTTTTTTTTTTTTTTAGACGGAGTTTCGCTCTTGTTACCCAGGCTGGAGTGCAATGGCGAGATCTCGGCTCACCGCAACCTCCGCCTCCTGGGTTCAGGCAATTCTCCTGCCCCAGCCTCCTGAGTAGCTGAGATTACACGCACGCGCCACCATGCCCAGCTAATTTTTTGTATTTTTAGTAGAGACGGGGTTTCACTATGTTGACCGGGATGGTCTCGATCTCTTGACCTCGTGATCCACCTGCCTCAGCCTCCCAAAGTGCTGGGATTACAGGCGTGAGCCACCGCGCCCAGCAATAATGTCTCTTTTCTTAAAAGCACAATGGGAGACATATTCCTTACCTCTCTGAATTTCTGAAGGTATAATTTCAGAGGTTCCACATAACTGTCAAAGCCTAAGGTAGACATGGCAAAGAGAATGTCCTCTCCATTGATTGTTTTCCGTTTCTCTTGATGACACCTTTCACTTGCTTCAGACGTTATAAAACTGATGAACTCACTTACACATTCTTGAACACATTCTTTGGCATCTTTTGCGATCTGAAGAGAAAATCACAGGTAAATTACAGAAACTATAAGCATCACCTTCCTAACAACCTAAAAAAATAAAAGCCTACTCAAGAACACATCTTCATTTTATGACTACTTAATCTCTTAACTATGTTATAACATTAATATAGTGTGTGCTATCAAAATTCCGAACCTCAGAGTCAGAACAAAAAGTCAAATACAAGTGACAGAAGCCATGAAACTATTTACAGAAAACAAATCTAATTTAGATATGAAAGAGCAATCACCAGATGTTCCTACAACCCCACAGAAGATGAAAACTCTTACTAACCAAATGCCCCTGGAAAATCAATTCCACATGCATATTTTGTGGGTGACTAAGGTACCACTTCTCTACTCTAGGATTTTGATGAATAAAGACACCAGAAAATAAAAAACAAAAAGTAAAACAAAAACTAAAATACTGAATTCACATAAGGCTTGGAAAAGAGCAAAACAGTAACATATGAGGCTGGGCACAGTGGCTCAAGCCTGTAATTCCAGCGCTTTGGGAAGCCAAAGTAGGTGTATCACGAGGTCAGGAGTTTGAGACCAGCCTGACCAACAGGGTGAAACCCTGTCTCTACTAAAATTACAAAAATTAGCCGAGTGTGATGGTGCGTGCCTGTAATCCTGGCTACTCAGGAGGCTGAGGCAGAAGAATCACTTGAACCCAGGAGGCAGAGCTTGCAGTGAGCCAAGATCATGCCACTGCACTTCAGTCTGGGCAACAGAGCGAGACTCCATCTCAAAAAAGAAAACAAACACACAAACAGACATTGGTGACTTTCTGACTTCTTTTATTATTAGGGATATACAGTGTCATATACAGGTTTTGAGTTTACTAAAAAGCCTGCCTAAAGAAGCACACATCTGCCACTTCATTATAAAAACAATTCTTCCCTTAAGGGTCTGGGGTCTAAAAATCAAACTCCAATGGATTAATCATGCAATTACAAAGCCACTTATAACAGCAACACCACTCAAAATTCTTGCCGAAACCTGTCTTTCACCTCAATGTCTATTTTACATACCAGAGTGTAAACAAGAACTGCATGAATGCAGTCAAGCAAGACAACATAATGTGAGCCACATATGTAAGTTTAGATTCTCCAGTAGCAATATCAAAAAAAGTAAAATTAATTTTAATAGTATATTTAATTTAACCCAATATTACTACCATTTAATTTAACCCAAATTATTACCATTTAAGCATAGAATCAATCTTTCAGTGAGATATTTTAATTCTTTTCTTCATACTAAGTCTTTAAAATCTGGTGTTTGAAATTTACAGCACATCTCCATTCAGACCAGCCACATTTCAGGTGCTCCAGGGCACGTGGCTTGTGGCTACGATACTGACCAGTGGTAGTTGCTTAGCTTATGTAAGCAACAATCAGCATTTGTGCCTTTTTTTTCCCTTAAAACATAAGGACAAAATTCTCAAACTGTAAGTTCTAGGCCTAGTGATTATTCTAATAGTGTATTTATTTTACTTCTATAAGTCTTTTTAAACTATAATGATAGAAAAATTACCAATAGAAAACGATATAAAATGTGTGAATTTTAATTCAGACCAAGTGATGAGCAGTGACAATGAGTTTTTAAAAGTTCTAAGAAGACAAAACTACTTAAAAAAATCGTTTATCAGTTGAAATTTATGTTAGTATTATAATTACATAAAAATAGTTGTTTCCGAATACCAGAATTTGTTTGGGAAAATTCTTATTACATCTGCATCAGACCAGTATAACCTAAATTTGCTGTAACATTATAGAAGTTACAGCTTCATACACTCAAACCTGATAGTTCTGACAGTGCACCTATTTTTTAAAACAGTCTTAATTCTATTTTATCTGCATCCAATAAGCGGGAGAGGGGAGAACATTTGGGGACATGACAGAATTGAAAATGGAACACTGTTCAGTAACTGCATATGTAGACATGAAAAAAATATTTGATTTGCTGAAAGCCTGAATGATTGATCAACAGCTGTAACTGTATTCATGACCTATGAATTCATGTCGTTTCGTGTTTTCCTTGAAAAAAACAAGTTGAATTTCTCCTCTACGTTACCTTTCCCGTTTGAGGTATGGCATTTTTCATTATCCTAGCCACATTTGCTATTGGAAGATATATATCTTGTTCTCTGAAACTTTCCTTTGAACCATTTGTGTCTTCATGATCATTCATGCTGTCCTCAGTATCTAAAGAAATAAAAACATTTAGGTTTAAAGCTTATTATTTCTATTTCAAGATAGAAAAAACTACCAAAATGATCCAGAATAAAATCATCCTGGTTCATCACTCAACCCTTATTTAGGGATTAGGATAGCAAGTCTTTTCATAATTTTTACAGAGCCAGAACTGAACTTTTTCATTAATTTCAAACTCACCGCCTAGAACGCTTTTTATTCTCAAATATACCTGCTACATCTTACCCCCAATTCTCCAAAAATCTCAAATAACATCTCCATAGCACCTTCAAAAATGATCTTTTCTTTCATAAAATACAAGTGCTTCTCTATGCCGTTTCTCTTACACATTTTAGAATTTTTATTAATCCTCATTTCTCCTATTAGATTTTTGCTACTTGATGTCAAGAATCAGCTTTGTGTTTCCTACAGCTTTATAGCACTTTCCGCAGAGTAGGTACTCATAAATACTTACTGCATAACTTAGCTGTAAAACTTAGACTGTAACCTATGGCTCCTTCAATATTGCTAGATTAAGAGATAATATGTTTCTCCAAAGCCAAGTTTATATAAACTGATTTATGTGAAAGTGTAGACTTTTACATAAAACTTTTAAAGCTGATATAAAATTGTCTGTAAAAAGTTTACATAACATTCTATACAGAATGGAAAACTGGACTTGAATATTACTGACCCAGTTGGATTACTAATATATAACTAGTTTTTGAACAAAGCTATTGCAGTGATCCAACTGTTCATACAAAAAGTGAATTTTCAAATTATATAAATTTAGCTATAACTGAAGCTTGCACAGTACCAATAACATCCTATTATGACTAAATGCCGTATCTTGTAAGTAAACTGCCCACTCTTCATATGTAAGTAAGCAAGGCACTTAAGTTGATTCAATTTACATTTTTATGTGTTTAAAATGATGTTATCAGAATTAATTTATTTCAATATGTGTTTCAGGATTGAAATTAATCCCTCTGAAAAAATTCTTCTGAAAATTTATCTCAATTTTTAAAAATTTTACAAGTCAGGCCAGGCATGGTGGCTCATGTCTGCAATCCCAGCACTTTGGGCGGCCCAAGCAGGCAGATCATCTGAGGTCAGGAGTGCGAGAAGAGCCTCACCAACACAGTGAAACCCTGTCTCTACTAAAAAGGAAAAAAATTAGCCGGGCGTGGTGGTGGGCACCTGTAATCCCAGTTACTGGGGAGGCTGAGGCAGAAGAATTGCTTGAACCCAGGAGGTGGAGGTTGCAGTGAGTCAAGATTGCACCACTGCATTCCAGCCTGGGCGACAGAGCAAGATTCCATATCTCAAAAAAAAAAAAGTTTTACAAATCAAAATGCCACAAAAGTAAATTATTTCTGATAGGCCAATATAACACTGACTTTTTTTTTTTTTCTTTTGGAAACAGGGTCTTACTCTGTCACCCACGCTGGAGTGTGCAGTGGTACAAACACAGCTCACTGAGGCCTCTACCTCCCAGGCTCAAGCGACCCTCCCACCTCAGCACCCAGCCCCCTAAGTATCTGTGACTACAGGTACATGCCACCAAGCCCAACTAATTTTTGTATTTTTTTTTTTTTGTAGAGGTGGAGTTTCACTATGTTGCCCAGGCTGGTCTCAAACTTCTGAGCTCAAGTGATCTTCACCTCGGCCTCCCAAACTACTGGGATCATACGCGTGAGCCACCACACCGAGCCAATTCTGCCATTCTAATACCTGACATAGTTCAAAGTTAATATTGAATGAAACCCAAAAAATCGTAAATGGAAAAAATGTAATAGCTAGAAATTTAACTCACCCTCTAAAGAATTATTTTAGTTACCCTATCAATAGATTACAAATTTCTCATTTTTAACATTTAAACAGGAAGTAACAAATTTTAAAAGAAACTATACACGTTTTAGAAAAGGTATATTTTTATAGTAAACGTCTTTTCAAGGACTCACTCTTTTTAAGGCTATTTCTAATAAAAAGAGCATGGTACTCCTTTTTAGACTTTCTCATTCAACCATGACACAAGATTGTAAATTATCCTATAAAGACAAAAGTAACCTAGAATACCATATTATTGAAATGTCCACTTTCTAACTTGTTTCAACTTGTGAATTTGGTTCTGTGGAGCTTGCTTACCATCATGAGGCTGTATAACATAATGACTTCCTCCAATATAGTCTGCAGAGATTCCTAGTTGAGAAGCATCTGTTGTAGAACTGTCACCGTCCATCTATGAGGAGAAAAACAGTTTTTCAAAACTTTTCAAAGTACTAACAAACGTCAGATTCAACACTTATAAACCGCTACAGGATGACGGGTCAATTACACTTTTCATAGCCTTGAGCTTACTAAGAATTTATATTTCCTGTTTTTTAAATTAATTATTTTTTTTGAGACAGGGTGTCACTCTGTCACCCAGGCTGGAGTGCAGTGGTATAACTTCCCAGGCTCAACCTCCCAGGCTGAAGCAATCCTCCCACCTCAGCCTCCCAAGTAGCTGGGACTATAGGCATGCACTACCACAACTGGACAAACTTTTTGTATTCTTAGTAGAGATGGGGTTTCACTATGTTGCCCAGGCTGGTCTGGAACTCCTGGACTCAAGCAATCCGCCTACCTGAGCCTCCCAAAATGCTGAGATTACAGGGATCAGCCACCACAACCAGCCTGTATTTCTTGATTTGGAAACTCTCCCACAATTTGCCCACGATTCAAGATTTCCCTATCCATCTTCCTTAAGTGATAAGCATAAGGCCAATAGGGACAAGGAAATGAATCTAAAGCATATGCCTCTTTCTTTTCAAGTGCACAATCTTCAAATCTGGTACACAGGCAACCCTCACTTACAACCTAATTTATCCCTGGAATGATGATCAGCTTAGCAAAGCTGGACACAGTGTCATGCACCTCTAGCCCCAGCTACTCAGGAGCTGAGGCAGGAGGATTGAGCTCAAGAGTTTGAGACCAGCCTGGTCAATGTAGTCAGAACCTGTCTCTTAAAAAAAACATCCACTTAAGTCATCAACTGGAATTCACCTGTACACATCACTCTCAGCTCTCCTGCTAAAGCCTGATTTTCCTTTTGCTCCTGCTGCAAATTTTCTTTGCTTTCTCATAGAAGTTCCAAAATAGACAATGTCTCCGTTCAAACTGTTACTTGGTATAAGAAGCATAGGGATTCCCTGCACAATTCTGTACCCAGGTAACCCAAAAGTACACCCATGTTTTGAATGAATCCATAAACTCTGACTGTAGTCAAAGGTTAATTTTCTCTCCCTCTGCCAAGTCAGGGCCAGGTGTTATGGCTCATGTCTGTAATCCCAGCACTTTGGGAAGCCAAGATGGGAGGATCACTTGAGGCCAGAAGTTCAAAATTAGCCTGGGCAACGTGGTGCGACCCTGTCTCTAAAATGAAAATAAAAAAATTAGCCAGGCATGGTGCCATGTGCCTGCAATCCCAGCTACTTGAAAGGCTAAGGTGGAAAGATCACTTGAACCTAGGAGGCTGAGACTGCAGTGAGCCATGATCACACCACTGCACTCCATCCTCACTGACAGAGTGAGACCCTATCTCAAAAAAGGGGAGGGGATCAGGAAGATATTAGATTTACATATATAGATAGGAAAATTACATGTACAGACAAGAATAAAAGTTAAAATTCCTGTTTTTAAAAAGTCTGCTTAATAGCCAGGCGTGGTGGCAGGTGCCTGTAATCCCAGCTACTCGGGAGGCTGACGTAGGAGAATCGCTTGAACCCAGGAGGCAGAGGTTGCAGTAAGCCCAGATCGCACCACTGCATTCCAGCCCAGGTGACAATTCAAGACTCCATCTTTAAAAAAAAAAAAAAAAAGTCTGCTTAATTAAGTTTTCTGAGAGCTAAAAGAATTCCAAGAGGGAAAGTCTGGAAAAGAGGAAATCATAAGCCCTGAACTGACTCTATTCAATTTCACCAACATGGCAGATCCTAGAAGGCCTTCTGTTTTGCAAATACTACTACTCAAAATATCTGTGAGTGAAAAAATTTAAATGCACGATCTGAATAAAAAGTATAGCAAAAATCAAGCGTAATTCATATGTACTTTCAGGCTGAAGAAGAGAAATTTGATCCTTCATTAAGGCCCAGGACCCAGTATAAATTTAATCTTATTCATTGCAAAATTTTAGTCCTTGTAAAACACATGTCTTCTCCATCTCTGTTGGATTTTTATTTAATATTAAAATACCGGGCTAGTTTCCAGGTCTTCAAAAACATGGCATTTTTTCATGCATCTACTGACTGTGATGCTAATATAACTGTAGATAGAGATACATTTCTGTAATTTATATAGTTGTTTTAAGGGGGTAGAAAATGGAATTCACAGACCTTTAATAATCTGTGAACATAGGGTACCTATTTATTGATACTTTGTAGTAGCCTCTAAGAAGTAAACGACAAAGTCAGTGACCTGATTCTGACTCTCCTACTGATCCCCTGAAAATAAGCATCTCTGCCAATTAAATGTATTTCCATATAAAATGGAAATAACAATACCACCCTCCCCATTTTAAACTAACACAAATGAATGTGAAACACTGCCCAAAAATCAAATGCTATTTTGATCCTAAAATGCTAACATACTAAAGAGTATCCTTTAATGGACATGATGATGGATTTTTTACAGCCATAAAGAATGATCAATTAATGATAGCTGTGAGTTGACCAGCTTTGACAATAACCTAAGGAAGATCAAGGTGCAAGAGACAGGACCAAAGTGGTTGTTTCAGAACCGACAATTGGGAACAAAGCTTTGATTGGGGGTGGGGAGGGCAGAGGGTGGGGAGGGCAGGCGGTGGGGTAGGAAGAATAACAGAAATTCTTTCCTTAAGTGAATGTCTACATGATAACGTAATTAGCTGATGAGCAAGACACTGTTCAAATAACCAAGCGCATCTGGGAGATGAATTAATTTAGAAATATAACACAAAAAAAGTATTAAAGGCAAAAAGTTTAAATCATATTATCTTGTCACGCACTGGAATGAGCAACAAGATTATCATCTGGACTAACAGCATTAGCCTCTCTAAATCTCGGTCTTCTAAAAGCAAAGATAAAAGTATTTCCTAGAGTCGTCAGAATTAAATAAAGACGAAAGCCGCTAGAGACAGTGTTTGGCACGTAGTGTACCCCACAGACATTAGCTCTCATCCTCCCTCCTTTGAAGAGAAGCCGCACATCATCTGCTCAACTCTGTATGTCTTTGGTTCCGCAAGTTGTAGCTCTATCATTTCACACCTTCTGTCTTCCTTTCCTCTATCTTTCTACCATTAAAATCATGCCCCAGACTTTAATCCCAGTGTTCTCTATTCTCCTTGAATCTTTCTGTTTTATCCCTTACTGCAATTCAAAAACAAATGTTCTGTTCTTTAAAGTTCTATGGCACTTAATACCTTGCATTCAATAAGTCAGCCTAATCTTTGATGCTTAGAATATGATAGCCATTCTCCTATATATAAGAACGATGGAAAAAAACTTGCTGGATGCATCCCAAAGGTTTTTCCTAGGTCTAAAACAGCCTATAAAAATTTATAAAACAAACTGTAGATTGTCAGTAAGGCAGTCAACAAATATTTACTGAGTGAGTGCTTAGTATTTACCAGGTCCATGCTATGTGGACCAGGTCTCTGTCCTCAGCTTGCAGGGAAGACAAATGTTATATAACCTGGGAGGCAGGATGAAGGGGTAGAGTGCGAAGCCTATTAGTCCTTCCAGGACATAGGCTCTGGAATCGAATCATCTACTTTGAATTCCCTGCCACTTACCGTGAGACCTTGAATAAGCTGGGTGAGAAGACTTAACCTCCCAGGGCTCCTGTACAGGTTAGGAGATAATCCATGTAAAGACAGCACAGCACATGGGCATACTCAGTAAGTATTACACATAGCTATCAAAATAATTACAAATAAGTAATTGCTAATGCCAACTAGTAAGAAAAACAAAGATGTTTTGTTATGTGCTATGTGAGCTTACTCCAAAAGGGACCTCACTTATCTGAGGGTTGGTCAAGAAAGGCTATCTTAGGAAATGACATTGAAAATGAGATTGAAAGATGAATAGAAATCAGTCAGGCAAAAAGAAAGGTGGGAAACGAATGTTCCAGGCAGAGAAAACCAAGAAATACCGTACTGGTGGACTGGAATGAGCTAAGGAGGGGCTAGATCAAGCAGTGTCCTGTGGACAAGAGGAAATCAAAGAGTTTTAAGCAGAAAAGCACAAATCACAGTTCTATTTTAAAAGATCCCTCTGGCTACAGTTCAGTACAGAAACCAACCTGGAGGGAGCATGAAAAGGCACAGAAGACCAGTGAGGACTATAATGCTGCAGTTAAGGCATGACTTCAGCCAAGATAAAGATCATTTTAGCATCAGATCCAGGCGAGAGCAACGGAGCTCAAGAGAAGCACAACTACTAGACAGCTGTTTAGTAGGTGACTTGGTGACTGACTGATAGAGCTACAGGAAGACCAAGGATAATGAATGATGGGATTCTTGCAGCTGGAGAGACAGACAGCTGTCACTGCAGAGAATGGGAGAGGAAAGGGAGGGCAGTGCTGGGCAGCACAGAGCCTAGCTGAAGCTAATGACTGAATTTACAGTGCTGCATGCCAGTATGTCCAGTGTGACACCTGAAAGGCCTGATATGAGAATACTAAAGCAAAAATGTTGGATTTCATCTGGGTGACAAGGCTGGAAGAGCATAGCACGTAGGATAATGACAAGGGGACAATGATGAATCATTAGACCTAAGGGAACTGATAAATATGGACAAATAAATTCATTTTAATGACTATTCTAATCATTTAGCTGAACTGACAGAATCATTCTTGAAACTATTATGTGAAATAAACAAGTAGTGGGCTAATAAATCTTTATTCTTTTTGCTGTAGCCACATTTAAACTATGCTAATAACGTGTTCCACAAACAAATACTGCCCTCTTTAATGTTAACATTTATTGAACACTTTCTAAATAGCTCATGCAATGTTCACAAGCCTGTGACGCAGGTGAGAAAACTGAGGTACAGGAGGCTAACGATTTGCCCGAGGTGACACAGTAAATGGGGCTGAAATCCAGGGCCTCAGATGCCAAGTACTCTCTACAGCATTCGGGCCTGGTAGTTTTTCATGGAGTCCTTACACCTACTTCTTTAATTTATTCTACGGCTACTGATTATACATGAAAAACATTGAAATTAGCTTCTCAAACCAGAACAGTGTTTGTGAGATGGTTAAGAAGCATGCTCTGGACTGTGGTGAGAATCACGGCTCTTAGGAACAATTTCATGGGTTTGAAGCTTGGCTCCCCATTTATGAGCTCTGTTTGTGTGTTCAGCTTCCCCATTTTTAAAGTGATGCTGCCATGAGGAAGCTATTGTATGAAAAGTACTTAGCAAAGTACAAGATACATAGTTAAGAACTCAACAAACATAATCTAGTATTAGTATTGTCCCTTCAAATACAGTTCTCATCATCCTTCCAGGCAGAGATTCCTCTCTTTTAATTTACCCTTTTACCTGTTTTCTGGATTACATTCCTTTTCTCTCTCTGAGGATAAGAAATTATAGATTCCTCTTCTCGCATGTATCTTCAGTCCTTACCAGCTCCTTCACTCTTCCTTAAACACGCTTCGTCTCCCTCATTAAGCACATGGAAGTCACAGAGATATATAAAACCTTAATTCTGCCCCATACCCTTGCCTAGCTACCATTCTTTCCCTGACAGTCGTTAGCTACCTCTTCATTCCTATTTAAACTCCCGAACATGTACTTTTTAACCCCTACCCAGAATGAAACCACTCTTAAAAGCTGCCAGTTGACTGTTCTTTGTGGTGCTGGCTACTACAGGCCACACATTTATGCCTGGAATGCTCTCCTACTCTAATTTCCAAAGCAATATTCTTTCCTCCCACCCCGTTAGTTTCACCTAAGGTTATCCTTCTCTTCCCGTATTTTCTTAATGAACTCACTAAATATCACTTCTATGCTCACAAATTTCAAATCTACAACCAATATCCTGCTTGCCACTCAAGCAACCCATGCCTATAGAGCATGTCTAATATCCCATCGCTACAAATTTAAGATATTGGGAAATGAAACTCACCTTCCTCCATCCCCTGGTAGGGGGCAAGGAGGGAGATTTCCCTTTCCACTACCGCAATTCTACTAAGAATACCAGCCTTTCACTCTGCCCAGCTAAATATACCAGCATCATCTCAGGTTCTTCCATCTCCTTTAAGCTCCACCTCATCTATTATCTTGTAAAAAATGTCTCCTAGATATGCTTTCCCTTTCCTATTTCCACTGGATTACCACCCAGCCCATCTAAACATATTGCTATAAGACAAATCTCATACCACCACTTGTGTAGCTACTGAACCTATTCTCAAAGGTTCCTAAAGACCCTCTATGTGAAATCCAAACCTCATTTTCATGACTTCACATGAGCAGATCGCACATTCAACCTAACCAAACTTGTTTCCTATTCTTCTCTATCTTCATGGTTAATAAAAATCTTTGTGCTAGAATGTGCTTTATTTAGGGATCACCGAGTGTCATTTCTTTCATTTTAGGAGTGAAGCAACCATGGCTCAAAGAAGCTGTGACACGCCCGAGGTTACAGATAGAGTAGCACATCCAGAATTACATATCCAGAGGTGTCAAATGCTTTCTCTTTCCTACATTATCCTTTGAAATCTGCCCTGGACCATGCATCTCTACTTCTGATCCCCTAAACTTAAGTTACCCATTCGTGCCACCAGGCATTTGCTTTTGGTGAGACTCTTCACCTATCCATTTCCATCCTCTACTTTAAGGTTCAGTTCAAGGTCTGCAGGATCCCTCTGATATTCCCCAGTACCCAGGTCCACCACGACTCTCCTCTCTTCTTCCCACATCGACTGCACTTAAGAGTTAACATTTTTGGTGCCGGGCGCGGCGGCTCACGCCTGTAATCCCAGCACTTTGGGAGGCTGAGGCGGGTGGATTACGAGGTTGAGAGATCGAGAACATCCTGGTCAACATGGTGAAACCCCGTCTCTACTAAAAATACAAAAAAATTAGCTGGGCATGGTGGCACGTGCCTGTAATCCCAGCTACTCAGGAGGCTGAGGCAGGAGAATTGCCTGAACCCAGGAGGCGGAGGTTGCGGTAAGCTGAGATTGCGCCATTGCACTCCAGCCTGGGTAACAAGAGTGAAACTCTGTCTCAAAAAAAAAAAAAAAAAAAGAGTTAACATTTTCCATTCAGGGCATAACTGTCCCCTAAGTATTCAATTAATTGGCTAAATAGACAGCCCCTTAACAGCTGGGACAAACACCCTGCAGCCTCAACAGCACTTAGGGGCCCAAGGGAAATAATACAAGCAAGAACATGAAAATAAGGAAGCAACAGGAATTAAGTAGAGGTTCTGTCTAGACCTGAAATGCATTCATTCTATCAAGCATCTCCAGTATAAATCAGTTATAATTTTATTTCCCACCAATTACTGTTTAAATCTAATTAACAACCAAAATGGTAAAATATACTTACTGTCATGAAATACTATCACAACCGTGTTGTCAGTGGTGTTGAAGAACACCTGTCTAAAAAGGTGTCTAATCTTTGCTATTTCAACCTAAAAGATAAACATCTATTAGGACCTAACATCTATTAGTAGTAAAAACATATCAAATATATCACCTATAGGTTTTCTCATCAAATTAGAGGCATGTATAATTTTGTCTCCTATTCTTAATCAATGGAGTGCATGTTATAAAATAGTATTAAAAGGCACCCAGTAAATGTTTGTTGAACTGAAATACTTATTTTGGAGAACTTACAAGTTAATTCCATGGGGAGAGGAGAAAATGAATTTTCAGACATAACCCTGAATTTAGTCAATTCATCAGAAACATTCATTGCAAGACACCAAATAGGAATTTTATGTAAGATGCAAGAGACCAAAAATTATACATCTAAATTACCTAAAACATTAACACCCAAGACACAAACACATCCCTTAACAACTTAATTTTTTGGTGACGGTTTTCTTAAATGTTTCAGAGTAACATTTAGGCACTCTATAGCTCAAGAGGAGGAAAAAATTATCTCAGAATATAATGCTTTTCAATTAAGAATCTCAGATTATACTGTAATGAAGATACATTCTGCACTGAAAAGACATCAAAAAAGCAACACAAAGGCCGGGCGCGGTGGCTCAAGCCTGTAATCCTAGCACTTTGGGAGGCCGAGGCGGGTGGATCACGAGGTCAAGAGATCGAGACCATCCTGGTCAACATGGTGAAACCCCGTCTCTACTAAAAATACAAAAAAAATTAGCTGGGCATGGTGGCACGTGCCTGTAATCCCAGCTACTCGGGAGGCTGACGCAGGAGAACTGCCTGAACCCAGGCGGCGGAGGTTGGGGTGAACCGATATCACGCCATTGCACTCCAGCCTGGGTAACAAGAGCGAAAACTCCGTCTCAAAAAAAAAAAAAAAAAAAAAAAAAGCAACACAAAACGCTTATTTATAATTTTGAAGCACCACCATTTTTGACTAAAATTGCATCCAAACAGCACTTCAGTCTCACTGTAATGCATAAATAGCTGAATAAATTATTATCAACTGCAATGTTACAACTTGCATTTCTCATTTGCTCCATTCTCTTTTTCAAATGAAACAATTAAATGGGGGAGGGGTAGAATGCCAAAACAAAAACACATCCTTCAGTGCTAATTTTAAAGGGAGAAGATGTACTGATACGCATCCCAGCATGAAATCTAGCAAATAGCAGAAAAAAAATGGTAGCCACTGAATTGAATGTTTTAAATGCCACTAAAAGGGTCCAGGCAGCAAAGACTGCTTGACATTTGTTATAATATTAAAAGTAATTTCTAATTTCTTTTTAAATATTAATAGTATCCTCTAACCCCAAAACTGCTCAAAAAAGTCCTTCCTTGTAACAAGAAATGTTATTTTTTTAAGAGTATCTTTGTAAAAATAAGCCCTCAGAACACTTAAAATATGGGAGCTATATTTATGTATTTTGCTTGGAATGGGGGAGGGGGGTGTGGGAAGGAGAGTCACACCACACTCACCCAAATAGTTGACTCAGTATATATTTAGACTCAGTACATTAAAGAAAAATACTGTCACCTCATATGGTACATATTTTCTTAAGGGCAGGTTATGATATATGTAAAAGCTCTAGGGAATGCATACATCTGTTTAATGTTTGAAGAAATGCAAATTTGTATCCAAGAAAAGCAGTAGTCCCTTCCTCCACCCTCTATTCTTTGGCATCAACAACCAGAGTTTTGCATCAATATACAGTAATCCTTAAATTAAGCTACAAGAGCAGTGCAGGGAAGGAATAATTGCCTTTTAAGGAATTTTGGTTAAACTTCCAATACTTTACAAATAAACCCCCCACTGACTAGTGCCACTGATATTGATCCGTTTACTTTCATCACTTTATGTTGCTGATTAGTTTCCATACTAAGAGAGCTGAAACCACATCAGTGATTTTGTGGCACGAACCACGGAACTACGGGGTCCATGCGGGTTAGTGAGATGCCATTTTTTTTTAAAGGTCGCAGGCTACCTAACCTTGTTTAAATTACCCTGTTAGAGTACTTTGGGCGAGATTATGATTTGTGGGTGCTCTGTAATTCTTTGTTCTCTAAAACTACCGTTCCTTAAGGCCTTGCATATCCTCCCGCCTCCCAACACCGATTAAAACCTTAGTCCAATCCGAAAGGCTTCCTTCCCACCTTCGGGGCAAGTCCAGGGACCGCAAGCCGCCAGATGGCTGCATTCTTTACGCGCAAACCAGACTGCGGGGAAGCCAAAGCCATGCCTTCCTCCCCACGCAGGTGCCCGGGTGGCCCCGGCCCCACTGCCCGGTCCGGTGAGCTGTCAGCCCAGTGAGTGCGGGGAGGCCGCCCCCGGCGCGCATCCCCCGACTCGCCCGGCCACCCCGGCCCCGCCGCGCCCAAAGCCTGCCTCCCGCCCGCCGCGCGGCCCCCGGGGCATGCGGGCAGACAAAGCGCGGGGCCCCGCCACAGCCCCGCGGGAGGGAGGGGGGCGCCCCCGGGGACCCGCGCGGCGGCCGGGGCTACTGGGCTACGGGGCTCGCACAAAATGGAGCCGGCCCGGGACGCCGCCGAGAGCGGGGCCCCGACGCAGCCCCGCGGCCCCTTCTCGGCCCCAGGCCCGGAGCTCAACGGCGGCGAGCGAGAGGCGGCCTGGCCCGCGTCCCGCCGCTCCTCAGCCCGGCGCACAAAGAGCAGAGCCGCGCCGCGGCCCCGCGCCCGCTCCCCGGCCCGCTGCGAGAACGGCCTTGCAGGCGCGGGCCCCGGCCCCGGCCCCGGCCCCGGCCCGGGCGGGAGGGCGGGAGGCGAGTGCCCCCGGCCGCGGCGGCGTTGGCGGCAGGGACGGCGCCGGGAGGAGACGGACATTTCATTCGAGCTAAAGTGGAGTCGGTTTAGGAGCGATCATTGGCCGAAGCGAGACACAAACCTCCAATGCAGCCCTGGTTGGCTCCCGTCTCCAATCGGCTGTTTGGTTGGACAGAAAATGGCTGCGAAGGAACCAGTCCCAGCGCGGAGCTCCGCTTCCAGGACTCGGCCTCCCCTCCCTCCGCCGCGGGCCGCTTCCCTCGGCGCGACACCCTCCCTCCGCGCCGCCCGCGCGCCCGCCCGCCGCAGCCCCGCCCCGTTACGCCCCCGGCCCCGCCCCGCTACGCCCCCGGCCCCGCCCCGCGCGCCCGCAAGGCAGGCGCGCCGCTGCCTACCCCGCTCTCCCGCTCCTCGTGGCGCTGGGGCTTTTAGGGCCCGGCCCTGGCGCGCCGTTCGGGTCTAGGCGGGCCTTCTTCCCGATGCTGACCCGGGCCTGTGCGAAGCGGGATCTGTCGGGCCTCCTTCTCTTTGTCACCGCTTTCCTCCCCACGCGGAGTTGTCTCTGCCGCCCGAGCTCAGCTTGCCTGCACCTGGATTTTTAAGAAGGAGAAACCAAGGACAGAAGCCGCCCCCTAGGACGACGCGCCCGGGCCACCGGGAGGGTCTGAACGGCGGGGACCCCCTGGAGCGCCTTCAGCGCCTCCTGTTTTCTTTCCTTGGGTCCCTGTTACGGTCGCCAGATGCGCATCGCTCCCTCTCATTTGGTCCCTGAGCTTGGGTGTTTGTTTTCATATTTCATCTAAAGATGCAGACTCCTGCCCAGTCTAGCCAGCCTTCACTGTGGATCTTGAACTTAAGATGCTGCATTTTCCACCCGCCCCCGCCCCTCTAGTAGTTGCAAATTGACAAGCGGCTTTTCCCAACCAGATGACATTTTGGCTGCAAGAATCCGCAGCCGGTTCTTCCCTCTGTGCAGCCAAGCTCCTTCGCTGTCTTTCCCTGACTGCAGTCCCGGGTCCAGCTTCGCTCAGCAGTGACCATCCCAGAGGTGGGTAATCCAACACCACTCCCTGCAACTGGAGCTGGGGGTGGCATGCCGTCTACTTCCACTAACCGAGTGGCCTGGGCCGCATTAAACTCTCCAGCATTGATCATATAAAAATACAGAGAGGTTTTTTTTGTTTGTTTGTTTGTTTTGTTTTGTTTTGTTTGGTTTGGTTTTTTTTGTTTTTTTTTTTTTTTTTATAGCGTTCCCACTGTTTCTCAGGGTGTTTAAACATTTCTGGGGCAAGTATGGAAGAAAGGACAAATGAAAGCCCCAAATCGTGACAAGAGGAGTAAGTAGCAATGCCACTGTAGTATCAGACAACCTGACTTGAATTCCAGCTCCCCTTCTTACTGGCTTGTGATCTTGGCCAAATGTTTGCTTCTCAGGGTTGTTTGGGATCATGTATACATAGAAAGCCCTTTAAAAAAAAAGTTATCCTAAGATCTTATATAACATGAATTTCTTCAGTCTCCATCAAACATTTAAAAATTTATAGGCTGGGGGTCATGGCTCACGCCTGTAATCCCAACACTTTGGGAGTCTGAGGCAGGCAGATCACTGGAGTCAGGAGTTCGAGACCAGCCTGGTCAACATGGTGAAACCCGATCTCTACTAAAAATACAAAATAAGCCAGATATGGTGGTGCGTGCCTGTAATCTCAGCTACTTAGGAGGCTGAGGCAGGAGAATTACTTGAACCCAGGAGGCAGACGTTGCAGTGAGCCAAGATCGCACCATTGCACTCCAGCCTGGGCAAAAAAGAGTGAAACTCCGTCTCAAAAACTGTTATTAAAAAAAAACAGAGCAAAATTGGCCTGAATTTAATTTCTCCCTTTCTCTATTATTACCCATAAAATGGAGATTTAGGAGTGAAATGATGTGTTCAAAGGCAGGAAATATAAAAACACAAGTAATAGAATTGGGAGAAGGATGACTAATTCTTCTCCCAGTTCTGGATGGTGTGGCGCCGTCACAACCAAAAGATGTGACGATGACTACTTTACTGAGTTAATAGTTTATCATTTCAGTACTGTAGATCTGAACTGCATGCTTAATTCAAATTCCATGATAAGGTAATATCAGCTCCTACCATTCTACAGGCATTGTGCTAGGAGCCCAAGGGCCACAAAGGTAAATGAAGCACTCCCCTTACCCTGGAGAGCCAGAACTCTAGGAGAGATGGGACCCGACCACATCCCCTCCACAGTTGAATCCTAGGTCTTCCTGCCTTGACAGCCTGTATTCTCTGTGCCTTCAGTATCTATTTCAGGAAGCCCCCAATAAATGTTAACCATTTTTCTGATGGCTTGGTGAAAGAGGTAGGCCAGGATCATAATTTAGGCTTGGAAAAAACACTGCAGCTAAGCTAGTCTTTGCATTAAAGATCAGAGACAGGCAATTGAGTCTTTATTTCCAGTCTGTACACCACAGCTGCCAGTTAGTTTATATTGCTATTTATCTAGGCATCATAATTCAGCAAACAATGAAACAGAATCCCTGGCCTGATGAACTTCAGTTAGATTTTACTTCATCACTGCAATGAGACCTGGTAAAATTCCCATGCAGACAGTGTCTGGTGTTATCTCTACTTCCACCTTCCAGGTTCTTCTCTGGCTCCACTCTTCTCAATCCACTCTATGCACTGAGGCCTGGAAGGATCTGGCTTCAGCTTCCCTCTCCCACCTGGCTTGTGGCTCTTCTTCAGCCCCAACCTCACCACGCTGTAGACCCACTGGCCTGTGCATTGCTCCTTACACGCACACCAGCCTTAAGATCCTCACTGGCTCCTTTTCATCACTGAGGTCTTGCCTCTTCGACGAGGGACTTCCCTGACCCCTTCTTCTTAAGTAGCCCCACTGAGTTACTCTCTATCCTGTCATCTAGCTGTATTATTCTGTGTAAGAGTAAATATTATGTTAACTCCAATGCACTTAGCCTAACTGGATTATCTTATTTATTTGTTGGCTAAAAATATGTATACCTAAAATGGAAACAGGCCAAGCTCAGTGGCTCACGCCTGTAATCCTAGCATTTTGGGAGGCTGAGGAGGGCAGACTGCTTGAACTCAGGAGTTGGAGGTCAATCTGGCCAACATGGTGAAACTCTGTCTCTACAGAAAATACAAAACTTAGCTGGGTGTGGTGGCGCACACCAGTAGTCCCAGCTACTCAGGAGACTTCAGTGGGAGAATCGCTTGAACTTGGGAGGTGGAGGCTGCAGTGAGCCAAGATTGTGTCACTGCACTCCAGCCTGAGTGACTCTGTCTCAAAAAAAAAAAAAAAAAAAAGGAAACACTTCTCATTGCCTACACTACTACCACCTTGGTTCAAGTCACATCTCCTGATAGGATTTAGATGTCCTGCCCAAATCTCATGTTGAAATGTAATCCCCAGTGTTAGAGGTGGTGCCTGGTGGGAGATGATTGTATCTTGGGGGCAGCTTTCTCATAAATGGTTGTCCACCATTCCCTGGATGCTGTCCTTGAGCTAGTGAGTTCTCTCGGGATCTTGGTGGTTTAAAAGTGTGTGGCACCTCCCCCTTTCCCTCTTGCTCCTGATTTCGCCCTGTGAAGTGCCTGCTCCCACTCTGCCTTCCACCATGATTGGAAGCTTCCTGAGGCCTTCCCAGGAGCAGATGCCAGTCTTATGCTTCCTGTACAGCCTGCAGAACAGTGAGCCAATGAAACGTCTTTTTGTATAAATTACCTAGTCTCAGGTGTTTCTTTTTTTAAAACATATAGAACGCTTCACAAATTTGCATGTCATCCTTGCACAGGGGTCATGCTAATCTCCTCTGTATCGTTCCAATTTTAATATACATGCAAGAACAGCCTAATACATCCCTTGTGAGGGTGACTGCAGTGACTTGTCTCCCCTCTTCCACTCTGATACACACACCCAAGATTTCAGATCCTCTGAAAATATAAGTCAAATCTTGTCATTCCAGTGCTCAAAAATCTCTGATTAACTCCTTATTTCCCTCAAAGTAAAAGACAAAGACTTGGCTGGGCCTGGTGGCTCACGCCTTTAATCCCAGCACTTTGGGAAGCTGAGGCAGGTGGATCACAAGGTCAAGAGATTGAGACTATCCTGGCCAACATGGTGAAACCCCATCTCTACTAAAAATACAAAAATTAGCAGGGCATGGTGGCTCACGCCTGTAGTCCCAGCTACTCAGGAAGCTGAGGCAGGAGAATTGCTTGAACCCGGGAGGCGGAGGCTGCAGTGAGCCGAGATCACGCCACTGCACTGCAGCCTGGCGCCTGGTGACAGAACGAGACTCTGTCTCAAAAAAAAAAAAAAAAAAAAAAAAAAAAACGCAGTCTTTCCAGTGGTCTTGCAAGCCATAGTGACAGATTCCTTCATTCCAAGTTGAAAAACAAAAAGATACTGGTTGTTCTTTGGTCATAGTGACAAGAAACAACCAGAATCTGTTTTAATCAATCAATAATAATCTCTTGATCAGTGACTTGCTTCTGAAAATTAGCCAATCAGCAACAGCCACATTCCACTAATCTTTCTTCCACAGCTAAAGGTCAACTCATCTCTAAACAGTCCAGCTTCTAAGAGTTCGCCAACTTCCAAACCCCATGCTTTCCAAAACACGACATAAGAGTCACAAATTCCTTTGTTCAGAGACATTCTATCTTACAAGTACTGCTGTCCTCTGCTTAGCAAGAAATATATTCAGCACTTAATTGTTGCAGATGAGAATGGTGGCCCCTTCACTGGTCAAGGCCCTGTGGGATCTTTGATCTGTTCCCTTTCCACTCCCCCTCTACCTTCATCTTCTCCTACGTTTTCCCTTGCTAATTGTACTCCTCACTGTCCTTATTTCTGCCAGGAATGCTCCTGCCTCAGGGGCTTTGCACTGGCTGTTCCGTCTTCCTAGTACATTCTCCCTCGTATATCCACATAGCTCACTCCCTTACCTCCTTCTCTGTCTTAATGGGGCTAGCCCTGATCACTGATCTCAAAATTGTAATTTCAACTCCCTACCCCCACCCAGCTGTAACCCTCTAACACACTATATAATTTCCTTATTTATTATGTTTACGATGTGTCGTCTGTCTCTTCCCACTAAAATGTAAGCCCTATGAGGACAAGGAATTTTGCTTGTTTTGTTTACCAGTGCATCCCATGCATCTAAAATAGTGTCCAACATTCAGTCAGTACTCAATGTTTGTTGAATGAATGGACTTTGAATGTTTCACCTTTTTGGAATATAAACTCCTTTAGTGCAAAGACCTGGTGTTCACTTTTGTATTCTCAGAGCCTAAAACAGTGCCTGGTACGTAGTAAGAGCTGCATAGGTATGTATTAAATGAATGCATGAGCAGGTATTATATAAAATTGTTTTAATTGATAATATAAATGACCTTGAGATTACCAAAGCCTTTATGTGCCATCTTCCTCCATAGAAACACAGTTAATGAACACATTTAAAATTGCTCACATTATTATGATGTGTTAATCAAAAAATCCAAAACATATTCATCACTATTTTCTCAGATATTAGATAAGTTAATAGACAAAAATGACTAAAAAATCTGGCTGAGGGGGGTGGCTCATGCCTGTAATCCCAGCACTTTGGGAAGCTGAGGTGGGTGGATCACGAGGTCAGGAGATCGAGACCAGCCTGGCCAACGTATAGTGAAATCCCGTCTCTACTAAAAACAAAAATTAGCTGAGTGTAGTGGCACGTACCTGTAGTCCCAGCTACTCCAGAGGCTGAGACAGGAGGATTTCTTGAACCTGGGAGGCAGAGGTTGCAGTGAACTGAGACCACATCATTGCACTCCAGCCTGGGTGACAGAGTGAGATTCCATCTAAAAAAAAAAAAAAAATCTTTGATCAGCTTGAACAAGCAGCAAGATCACTCTCCTTCCTCGAGCTGCTGAGGCTGAGGACAGGAGGAAACCCTTGTCTCTGATAGAAAAGCAGAGCAGAGAACATTTCTTTTCTCATTTCCTTTATTTTTTTTGCTTAAAAAAAATAAAGGTCTTGGGTCTTTTCCAAACTGGTGTCCCTGTTTATTAACATGGCCATATTAATCTTCCTGAAAACTTGGTTGTTGTTGTTTTTTTTTTTGATCCTACATATGAATGCCAGGTCATAGAAAACATAGTTCTTATTGTATTACTACCTTTTACAAATCATGAAAATAGCTCTCATCTATTACATAGTTACTGTGTATCAGGCACTCTGCTAAATACTACCTGCATGTTTTCTCATTTCAGCCACACAATGACCTTATGAAATAAGTGTTATTTACCCAACTCAAAAGACATGAAAACAAGCTCATAGTTTAAGAAACCAAGACGTTGACTGGGCGCGGTGGCTTACTGTAATCCCAGCACTTTGGGAGGCTGAGGTGGGTGGATCACCTGAGGTCAGGAGTTCAAGACCAGTCTGACCAACATGGAGAAACCCCATCTCTACTAGAAAAAAAATACAAAATTAGCCAGGCATGGTGGCACATGCCTGTAATTCCAGGTACTCAAGAGGCCGAGGCAGGAGAATCATTTGAATCAGTGAGGAGGAGGTTGCAGTGAGCCAAGATTATGTCATTACACTCCAGCCTGGGCAACAATGAAAAAAAAAAAAGAAAGAAAGAAAAACCAAGAAGTCACACAGCTGGAAGGCAGGCTCAAACCTAGCACCAGTCTCTCTTACTTAAAAAATAGAAATAAAACACTATTTATTCAAAGGATCCTAATAGACTTTTCTCTAAAAAAGATACACAGATGGCCAAAAACCATATGCCAAGATGCTCAGCATCATTAGTCATAAGGGATATGCAAATCAAACCACAGTGAGATACCACTACACACCCACCTGAATGGCTAGAATCAGAAAGATCCATCATAACAAATGTTGTCAAGGATATGGAAAAATTAGAACCTTCATACAATGCTGGTGGGAATAAAAAATGATACAGCCACTGTGGAAAACAGTCTGGCAGCTCCTCAAATGGCTAAACATAAAAGTTACCATTTGATCCAGCAATTCCACTCCTAGGTGTATGCCCAAGAGAAATGAAAATATATGTCCTTACAGAAACTTCTACATTTATAGCAGCTTTCTTCTTTTATTTTTATTAAAAAAATTTTTTTTTTCGAGATAGAGTTTCACTCTTGTTGCTTAGGCTGGAGTGCAATGGCGCAGTCTCAGCTCACTGCAAACTCCTCCCGGGTTCAAGCGATTCCCTTGCCTCAGCCTCCCAAGTAGCTGGGATTACAGGCATGCACCACCACACCTGGCTAATTTTTGCATTTTCAGTAAAGACAGGGTTTCACCAAGTTGGTCAGCCTGGTCTCAAACTCCTGACCTCAGGTGATCCACCTTTCTAGGCCTCCCAAAGTGCTGGGATTACAGGTGTGAGCCACCACACCTGGCTGCAGGTTTCTTTCTATAGCCAAAAAGTGGAAACAATCCAAATGTCCATCAACAATGAATGGATAAACAAATATGATATATCTATGCAATGAAATATTATTTGACCATAAAGACAAATGAAGCTCTAATATATGCTACGACATGGATTAACCTTAAAATCATTATCTAAGTGAAAGGAGCCAAACACAAAAGACCACAGATTATATTATTTCATTTATATTAAATATCCAGAATAGTCAAATCCATAGAGAGAGAAGGCAGACTATTCTTTGCTGAGGGATAAGGGAGAAGATGGGGAAGCAGGAGGTTTGACAGCCAAAAGGTACAGAGGTTCTGTTTGAGGTGATGAAAATGTTCTAAAATTGTCAGAGCCAGGCACAGTGGCTCACACCAGTAATCCCAGCATTTTGGGAGGTCGAGGCAGGTAGATCACATGAGGTCAGGAATTCAAGACCACCCTGGCCAACATGGTAAAATCCTGTTTCTACTAAAATTAAACAAATTAGCCAGGTGTTGTTGGTGCTGGGGGTTGGGGAGAGGTGCTTGTAATCCCATCTGCTTGGGAGGCTGAGTCAGGAGAATCACTTGAGCCCAGGAGGCAGAGGTTGCAGTGAGCCAAGACAGCACCACTGCACTCCAGCCTGGGCAATAGAATGAGCCTCTGTCTCAAAAAATAATAAGAGAAAAAATTTTTTAAACTGTGAGGATGATTGCACAAATCTGCGAATATACTAAAAAACAGTAAATTGTACACTTAAAATTTGAAAATTGTATGGTATGTAAATTATATTTCAATAAAGCTTTTACCACAAAAATCCTACCTTTTTTTATGTGTTCGTACCTTTTTATATGTGAGGCACACACAAATTGATAAGCAAAACATTAAATTCCCAATAGAAAATTGAGCAAAGGCCATAAAATAAAAAACTAATAAAAGAAAAAATACAAATGGCTGATGAACATGAGGGCAGGGAAAAAGGTTTAATTCAAAGACAAATTAAAACAAGGGAAACCTAATACATAAGGAAATAATTTTGCAGCAAAGATAAAGACGAAGATGTAGTGAGATGAATTTTTGTTTGTTTGTTTGTTTTTGTTTTTTTTAATAGGCACAAGGTTTTGCCATGTTGCTCAGGCTTGTCTTCAATTCCTAAACTTAAGCAATTTTCCTGCCTCAGCCTCCCAAAGTTCTGGGATTATAGGCATAAGCCACTACACCCAGGCTGAGATGGGTGCTCTTATATACTGACAATGGGAGAGCTCTCTGGAAAGCGGTGTGTGCTTTAGCAGCTTTTTTTATTTTATATATTTTTTTTAGATGGAGTTTCGCTCTTGTTACCCAGGCTGGAGTGCAATGGCGCAATCTCGGCTCACCGCAACCTCCGCCTCCTGGGTTCAGGCAATTCTCCTGCCTCAGCCTCCTGAGTAGCTGGGATTACAGG